CAGGCTCTGAGCTGTCAGCCCAGAGTCTGACATGGGGCTTGAACTCACAAACTGCGAGGCCATGACCTGAGCTGAAGTCAGACACTCGACCGACTGAGCCACCCAGGTGCCCCGAGTCACATGCTCTTCTGACTAAGCCAGCCAGATGTCCCACTTTGATTTTTCTACTAATGTTAGATTTTCCTTGTCTAGATTTACAGAAAATTCTGCAGGGATTTTGATAGGAGTTGTATTAAATCTGTACATCACTTTGGAGAAAATTAACACCTTTGCTAGGGTTAGCCTTCCAATCCATGAATATGGTAGGTCTCTCCATTTATCTAGGTCTTCTTTGATTTCTTTCATGAGCATTTTGTAGTATTCAGCATATAGGACATGTTTTCTTAAATTTATATCTAAGTATTTTGTTTTCTAGTATTATAAATTACATATTTAAAAAGTTTTCATCTCAAATTGCACATTGCTAGTATATACAAATATGACTGATTTTTGTGTGCTGACCTTGTATCCCGACACCTTGCTTAACTCACTTATTTAGTACTAGGATTTTATAGATTCCTTGGGATTTTCTAAGTAGATAATCATGTCATCTCTAAATAGGAGAGATTTTCTAACATCCTTTGAAAACTCCTCTTTTTTCCTTCCTTTTCTTTCTTTTTGTTCCTTCTGGGTTGTTTGTTTTTCTGTTTCTCCAATATTCCACTGAAATTTATATATTGTGATTTTTTGCTACATGTGTGCCTTTTATTTCTTTTTCCTGGCTTATTTCACTGGCTAGGAATTCTAATACAATGTTGAATAGGAGTGGCGATGGTGGACCTTCCTGCCTTTTTCCTCATCTTAGGAGAAAGAATTCAGTCTTTAACCATAAGAATGATGTTAGTTGTAGTGGGTTTTCTGTTTGTCTTTGTACAAGCTCTTTATCAGGTTAACAAAGTTCCCTTTTATTCTTACTTTGCTCACAGTCATTATCGTGAATGGATGTTGAATTCTGTCAAATGCTTTCTCTGCATCAACATAACATGTGCTTTTTTAAAAAATTTCACTAGATAGTCAGGATCCCAGTATCCCAGTGGATTACATTGGCTGTTTGACTGACATTGAACCAGCCTTGCAGCCTTAGGATAAACACCACTTTTTAATGTTTATTTATTTATTTTTGAGAGAGAGTGAGAGAAACCCAAGCAGGCTCTGCACTGACAGTGCAGAGCCCAACGTGGGGCTCAAACTCATGAATTGTGAGATCATGACCTGAGCCAAGATCCAGAGTTGGACGCTTAACTGACTGAGCCACCCAGGTGCCCCCCGCCCAGTGTATACTTTTTTTTTTTTGTTTTTAAAACTATTTATTTATTTTTGAGAGACAGAGCAAGACAGAGTACGAGTGGAGGAGGGGTACACAGAATCTGAAGCAGGCTCCAGGCTCTGAGCTG